TTTTTTTTGCATGTGTGTACCTGGAGGGAATTGAATTCAGGACCTTGTACTTCTCAGGCAGGCATTTGTGCCACTGAGCTATATCTCTAGTCCTTGAGCTTCATTTTAAAGAATGGTTAGGGCTACTTTGGCAGACACAGGGATTGGGGCTCAATCCCTGGCCTGCTGTGCTAGCTCTGCCCCCAGGGCATGCTGAGATGGCCATTGAGACTGGGCATGGTGGCATGCGCCTATAATCCCAGCACTTGGGAGGCTGAAAACTGGATCACTACCAGTCTGATCTGTGTAATGAGACTTTGTAGACCCTGTACTAAATACATTAAAAAGAAAAGAAAAGAAAAGAAAAGAAAAGAAAAGAAAAGAAAAGAAGGTTAGAAGAACCAGGAACTTTTGAGGAAAAGAAACTTCTTTTTTTTTTTTTTCGGAACTGGGGTTTGAACTTAGGCCTTTGTTCTTGACAGGCAAGCCCTTATTCTACTGAGCCATCTCCCCAGCCCTGAAAAGAAACTTCTAAGCAGAGAGACATTATATATTTTGGGTGTTTGCTTGTTCAATTATTTTTGAGACAGGATTTCACTCTATAGATCAGACTGGCCTAGAACACCTGGAAATCTTCTGCCTTAGCCTCCTGAGTGCTGGGATTGTAGGCATGTGCTACTACCCCTACCTGAAGCAATTTGTAGGAAATAATAGGTTCATGCCCTACCCTTAGCTGTTGGGAAAGAGGCAGTAGGTTCCTCTGGGAGGCTGAGGGCAGACAGATAAGGAGAGATAGGGAGCTAGCCTGGAAGCAGATTGGGAAAGACCTTAAGTGCCAGGCCCAAGATTTTGAATTTTACCTTTAGAGTGGTAGGGGCCTCTAAAGGAGCATACACACAGCTTGATAGTGACCTGATCAGATTTTTGTTTTCTGATGATGGAAGGTGTCTATGATGGACTAGTAAAGGGTAACACTGAGGGGCCAGTTGAGAGCTCTGCGGTCCACACACAGACATAAAGACTAAAAAGAGAACAGAACTATGAGACAAGTGGCTGCCAGGATGGGAAGAGCTGGGGAGGAAGGACAATGGAGACATTCCAGGGGTAGATAACTAGCAGCTCAGTGCTGTAGTTCAGCAGTTGATGCAGAGCTTATGGGAAGAAAGCAGGCCAAGGGAAGACTCAGGGCTTTGAGTCTGGGGAAGCTACATCTAGGGAGCTACACATGGGCTAGAGAGTGTTTGGGAGACTTTCCTGTGCCAGACTGTTAAAGCTGGGGACTGGATTGGATTATAGTAGGAGAATTGTGAGACAAAAAGAGGGCTGTTCCTAAGCTCCTAGTATCATGCCCGTAGGGATACAGAAGGACATGTGAGTAA